GAAAAATAACTCAGTATGATGAAGTTTTCATAAGTAATTTAAACAGAATTAAGAAAAAGTAAATTAAGCAGATGTAAATAGAATAAAAGTTTTTTAGGTGAGCTCTTGAGCAATAATTACATTTTATGTGCACTTAAAAATGGTTTCCTAAATCTCTTTGGTAAATTAAAACTTTAAAGTTTTGCTAAATTAAATTATATGATGGAAGTTCATTAAATATCCAGATCATTTTCAAATAAGACAAAATCATGAAATATTAATAACTGAACATAGGTTTACCGACTTTTGGCTTCCTATTAGAGAGGAACTAAAGAAATTTTGGGTCTGTTAGTAACTATGTCTTGTACCTCACTGAAAGATTGTACTATAAAAACGCATATATTTCTAGAAATTATGGAATGTATTTATAAATTTATTGATCTAAAGAACACTGGTATAACAGATAATTTACAATTACTTATTAGTTTTCACTAGAAATTAATGTTTCTAAGGGTTAACAATTCTAATTAACATGGAAGGAAATAATATATGTTTTCAGTAATAGGAGGTATAGGTATAGAAATACATTTTTTAGGGAATTAAAGGAAAATGGTTTGTCCTAAAATACATTGGTTATTTCTGAATGGGTAAGAGAACAAGAGACAAACTAAAAGGAAAAAGAAAAACTGTAGAAGTTTTGTAAAAAGAAATCTTGAGAAATTTTATGTGTGATCAAGCTGGATAAGATTGCATTAATTTGTTAGGTTTTTGGGGTTTTTTTTAAAGCTTTAATATCAATAGTGTGCTAAAACAATATTATTTCATCTGGTAAAAGGACAAAGTTTTCTTGGACTATTGGTCAACTCCTGATAAGAAACTGTGAAAAGTTTCCTGCCAAGAAAGCAAAGATTTTGTGTTTTATCAAAATAACTTGCTGTATTTCATGTTGTCTTAATCAGGTCTTTGATTCCTTAAGAAAACGGAGTCTTCTCAATAGTAAGAGCTAACCTTCTGTATTTAAAATTCCCTAGATGACTTTCATGCAAAGGAAGGGGCAATAAAATCTATAAAGATTGTGGCACATGTGGATGAAGTCTATTCTGCTTCTGCAAAAATGACCCCTCAGTGCCAGACTTTTGCCATCTTGATGCCCATGTACTATGACAACAGTCTACTCCTGAATCGGAGACTCTAAGATGGGTACACAATGGCTTTAAGTTAAATGAATAGTCAGGGTTATAGGAGACCCAAGATGGCTGCTTGCTTCTTTCAGGCTCCCTTGCAGACCCTTTTTTCGTTTTTGCATTCTTTCACTCAACTGCCATTTAAGCTGGACTTCACTCAACTGCCATTTAGTTTGGATTATCAATATGTTCTTCTTGTTGTATGTATGTTTTCCAGATGCTGTGTAGTCTTCCCCTGCCACACAGCTGGTACTCTCCCAGTGGCAAAGAAACTGTTAGAAAATGTGTTTTCCACTCAGGATATACCTTCCACAATCTCTAGGGATCAAGGCACCCACTTCACTGAGCAAATGTACAAACCTTGACAGGAAGTCTTGCAAACTTCTTGGAATTACCACTGACCCTATCACCCTCAATCTTGAGGCAAGGTCTAGAAAACTAATGGACAAATTGGATTCAAGCAGAACAAGTCTTAATTACATGGGATTGAATGAACTGATGAGGATGATTACAATTTTTATGACTTTTTGTTTGAAACACTGCTGGCACTTTAATTTTATTTTGTTTTTCAAGCTATAAGGAAACCTTTCCTTTTAAACTATGACTTACAGTAATTTGGTAAGTTACACCTTTGTAAGCAGAATTGAAACATTTACCTTTTTCTCCCTGCTTGATCCCTCCAGAATTTAGAAACCTACGGTGAGTATGCTTATTTTCATGGCAATGTTATTTGCATAAATTCAATACAAATTTGTTCTCCTTGTAACAGGACACAATTGGAAACTAGATATATTACCAAAGCTTTGACTAGAATGTCATTTTTGTTTTTTAATTGGGGAACAGTATTTTTTCCAGGACCCATCAGCTCCAAGTCGAGTAGTTGTTTCAATCTAGTTGTGGAGGGTGCAGCTCAGTGGCCCATGTGGGGCTCGAACCAGCACCTTGGTGTTATGAGCACTGCGCTCTAACCAACTGAGCTAACCAGTCACTCCTGGAATGTCATATTTGAGAGTGACATGCATAGACTCAGATATTACCAGACAGCTTGAAGGAATTAAAATTCACTTATGGAAGCCAATAAAACCCTCAGAAATATCAGCTGGCCTGGTATCTTGCTTATAGGGTTCCCAGCAGCCTTACCAGATGAAAAAAGAATGCAAAAACCTCGAGATATTTTGGGGACCTTGAGAAGAGAGGAATTAACCAAAATCTAAAGGTATTGCAGGTGAAATCTAATGACAAGTTCTTGGCTTAGCTTTTCTGGCCTTGAGAAGATTTTTAAAGTCCAATCTGTAGATTCTTTATGAAAAATTCTAGCAAAGCAGGTTTAAAAGAGCTTATATGGGGGCCCATCAAGTGGCTCAGTTGGTTGAGTTAGTTTAAGAGTGCAAGTTCTGAGCAACAGGGCAGCTGGTTCGATTCCTACATGGGCCAGTGACACTGTGCAGGAGCTGAGCTGCCAACAGGTGGTAGGATGGCTCAGCTGGTGAGAGCATGTGCTTCTAACAAGAAGACTGCCTGTTTGATTTGCAACTAAGACTGAACCTGGCACCTTGAGCTGAGCTGCCACCCGGATGGCTCAGTGGATACAGAATGCACTCTTAACAACAAGGCTGCTGGTTCGACTCCTGCATGGGATGGTGCCTACGCCCACCTGCAACTAAGACTGAACACAGCACCTTGAGCTTAGAGGCCACGAGCCGCTGATGGGCAGCCAGATGACGACTGGTGCCCTCCACAACTAAGACTGAAGAACAACAACTTGGCTGGTCCCCCTCCCCAATTCCCCAACACTGTCCACCTCCTCCAATTCCCCCAATTCTCCAATTAAAAAGAAAATTAAAAAAAAAGAGCCTATATGAGCAACTGCTATTCTTGTTGTATTTATACAAATAACAGGCCAAGTTTATTGAAACTCGACTTATTTTGCAAACAAATTAGTCTTCATTTGGTTATCTTTGGTAAAAATGGGGATGATTTTAGAAAGAAGTTATGTTTCAGTAATACATCTTTGTGGGTATTAGATTCTAGTGCTGCTCACTGTCTTTTGAGGTTTTTGTTTTCTACCTATAGACTGCACTGGATGCTGAATTCTTCTAGTTTCCTCCAACATCTGGCTATGACTCTGCAAACTAATGTTTCCAGTTTTTCTGCCGCCCTTCTAACTTGGAATCGTTAGGAACTGAAACTGCACTTTTCCCAAAGCCATGTAAGCTAAAGTTGGACAACTCAATATAAACCTCAGAGAAATTACCACAACAGCTTATATATGGACAATCTTCATGCCTGTTGCAGAAAGATTACCCTAGACATCCAAACTGTAGACCAGGAAAATCTATCAGAGTGTCACTGCCTGCCCTCACTCCATCTGAATATGCTTTGAGCCACATTTCTAGAAACCTTCTTGACTGGCTGCCTTGAGAACTCAGAAACCGGGATTATAGTACGCTCCAAGCATTAACCATTGTTTTTCTTTTGTGTACAGAGAGATGCCTCTTATTAAATACCTGATTGCTTTTGTCATAGGCCTAGTTTTGGGAGCACACTTGCCTCGCTGCCTCCTGAAAAGAGACACAACTGTCTAACTGATCTATTCTCAAGACTGAGACTGGTTTAGTGAGATATGGAACAACCTATCAAACCCAAGTTCTGGCATGTGAACCTTCTCAGGAAATTTCAAAGGCGGGACTAGAGTTGTTCAGAATCAGCTTCTCCAAGATTTGCCATTGTGACGTGAATTTTTTTGAGCTGAAAGCAATTGAGACTCTGTGGGCTCATGAGAAGCATTTACCCCCTTCCCTTAAAGAATTTAAATTGGGGGTCTTGCCCATAATAAGAGTTATTACCAGAAATAACTTTTTATGGCCTATCTATAGGGTAGGCAAGCATCTAATTACTGAACATCTGCTCTTCTTACTGTCCTGTGAATGACTCTCTTCCCCTCTGAAGCCCCAAGGCACCTTACCTCATCCTTAGCTCAGAATGTCATAATATACCTCATTTTAACCTTCTGTCTCTGAACCTCTCATGTATGGTTCGGGGGGTGTGTGTGTCTCTGTTCTCTCACGTACGTGAGGTTTTTATACATGCATATGTAATTAAGTTTATTTATTCCTTCTTGTTAATCTGTCTCATGTCAATTTAGTTATTAGACCCGCTGAAATAAAGTTTCTTTCTCCCCCGCAGAGCCTAGACACTAACTCCCTTTTACATAGAAACAGAACGTATTTTTGCACCCTTAAATGTCCATTAACTTTTCAGCAATGCTGCTGCCATGTAAAGAGAGGCATGATTGTATTTTGTTTTATGAATCTTCACCAAAATTTATTCATCTTTCCAGAAAATTCCATCACCCATGGGTACTACTGCCTTTGTAGCTGTCTTACCTCTCAGTTCCAGTATCCTGAAAACTTCAGAATGTCTTCTCCTGTATTTGGGCCCAAACATTTACATATTGGAACATCTGTTATATAATTATAATTATTTTGTCATCTTTATTTTACAATTAACACAGTTTATAAACATTATGCGTGCGGGTGGGTTAAACTGTTTATAGGTTCTATTTCCAGAGGAGCAGGCGGTTTATAATCTAGTGTAGCCAGCGGCCCCTAGGGTCTGGCACAGGCCCCCCGCGGAGAGGTCCTCCGCGCACCAGGGGTCGCTGTGGCGCAGCGCGGGCGCACCGGGCGCTCTCTTGTGGCCGCCCCGCCTCGGGCCCCCGGGCCGAGTGGGCGGGCACGACTGCGCCCAGGTCGCCTGGCGCCCTTCGACCAGCAGCGCCCGGGGCGGGCGGGTATAAATGGAGCGGTGGCTCCCCCAGCCGCCTCTCTCCGCCCCGGGTCGCCGCAGCTTCGCCCGCTTTCGGGCTCAGCAGCCTGAAGAAAAAAAAGAGAAAAAGATAAAAAAAAACCCGAAAACGCTTTAAAATCTGAAAAAAAAAAAAAAAAGAGAGAAAGAAAAAGCGAATCCTTCTCGAAGAACCCGCGGGGAAGTCACTTTTGCACGCTTCCGGCCTGCCCGCGCCCGCCGCCCCCGCCGCCGCACCTGGGTGTCCGTCGGTCCGCTGGTGAGCCGCCCGCGTCCACGCGCCTCTGCTCCAGCCGCCGGTCCGCGCCGCGTGGCAGCCCCGCGCCCCCGCCCCCCAGCGCGCCGGCCTCCCCGCGCACCACGTGTCCGCGCTGCCCTTCGCGGCCCGGCGTGGAAGCGTCTGCGCGCTCTGCCCCCGGGGCTCGCCGAGTCGGCACCGACAAATATTTTGTTTCCCTCTTCCCTTGGCTGCTGTAATCTTAAACCGCCAGGAGCCCGGGGCCTATATTTATAGAGAAACGCGTGTCCCGGAGGCCGCGTGGGCACCGTTTGGTTGCCTCTTGAAGAATTTTTATAATTTGAAGGGGAGTCCCCGTTTTAAATTTTTTTTGTTTTTGTTTTAATTTGGAGCTTCAGACCAGGGCAGCTGAAAATTACAAACTCCCAGGAAGGGCCATATTGTTTTTGAGAACCTTTTGTCTGCGGTCCTGCAGTCTCCAGCGAGCCGTCCCTGAACTCCTTGGCCCGCTGCTCGGTCTCTGCGCCCACTCCCGCTTCTCTCCGCTTCACTCTGCCACCTGTGAGCCGCGGCGCGGGCCCCGGCTCCAAGAAGAGCCCCTTTTGTCCTGTGTGGTCCTCATAAGAAGTCCTCCTGGCGGGGCTCGGGGTGGTGGGGGCTGGGGAGATGAACGCTGCAGCCAGCAGCTACCCCATGGCCTCCCTGTACGTGGGTGACCTGCACTCGGACGTCACCGAGGCCATGCTGTATGAAAAGTTCAGTCCTGCGGGGCCTGTGCTGTCCATCCGGGTCTGCCGCGATATGATCACCCGCCGCTCCCTGGGTTATGCCTACGTCAACTTCCAGCAGCCAGCTGACGGTGAGTGGAAACCTGGTCTACCAATTCACAGGCTCCCACGGGGCCCCAGGAGTCATCCCCTTGGCAGGTCCTTCACCCTCATGGAAGGGGCATCACGACTGCATGTTGCCACAGAAGCCATAGTGGGGCATAGGATGCAGGGGTGAGCACACGGGATCCTGGCATCAGATGACCAGTTTCAGTCTTCTACCACTTGCTAACTGGGTGACCTTGGGCTAATCAGAAGTGGCAGTGGGGTTGGAACCCAAGGAGACTGTAAAAAACGGTGTCAGAGGGAAGGCACTGTCATTCCATGGTGTGTGTGATCCTGCTTCAGCGGAGCTGGGCTGTTAGAGACCCTCGCCTGGTCAGCGGGCATGGGCTCATGTCCCTCACAGGCCTGCCAGAATGGCAGGACGATTGACGTACAGGTCCTGCAAAAATTTTAGATTGCAGAGCTGCTGCCCCCTCCCCTACCTTTACCCTGGGTTAAGAGTCTGTTTGATTTTGTGCTGATAGAGGACCTTTCCGGGAGGTAGGAAGCAGGGGAACAATTCTGTGCATTAAACTTGAGCATATTAACTTTGCGTTAGCACAAGAGCTGCGTGTGCCAGGCCAGCTCCCTGGTCTGGGTGTTGGAGGTAGAGGAGTTCTTTACGCTGAATGAAGTCTTCAGCTGTGGAGAAGGGTCTCCAGGTAGTCTGGGGAACCGAGGCTTGGAAGTCCACCGGGCTGGTTGGGATGATTGTCTTACCTGTGAACAGAGCTTTCCACTTCTCAAAAATACTTTCACTTCATCCCACCTGAAGAGAATAGGACTCTTGAGAAGGAAAAGGAACTGCAGAAGGTTGGAGGCCAAGCTGGGACCGCCAGTGCAGTGCTCCACGAGCCCAGATTAGGCCTTAGCTTGGAGGGGTGAGGTATGCTGCAGGCATGGCAAGAGTGAGGCCAGAGGAAACCTAATCGGGCTGCACGTGACTCCAGATTAAAAAGGAACAACTGTAGAGATCATTACTGCAAGAAACAAACCATTCTGTGGCAAAGGATCTCCAGGTCCCTATTTTTGTCCCTACTTTGTTCACCGCGAAGCACAGAATGTCATTTGCCCAGGATGCAGCTGAGACCAGAGAGTTGGACTTGTTGAGAGACATGAGGTACTGCTCCCGTTAATTTAGTGTGCTCGGAGCTGATTTGGGTCTGGCCACAAGGCACAAAGAAGGTAGCTGAGTGTAGCCTTTTTTGTGGGGGGGAAAGGGGGAGGAGTAGCTTGCCTTCTTGACTCTTCTCAACAAAAGTCCTGTCACTTAGCGATAACAGCAGAAGCCATTGGTCAGTGTGTCTGCCAACACATACCTCTGCAGGACCTCTCCCTGCTATAAATAAGTGCAGCCAGATTTGTCAGACTAAGCCGACTTGCCTTGTGCAGCACTGTCTGGAAATAGAAGAGATGTGTTGAAATGGGTTCCTTTGCTACCAATTAATGAAACACCGTTTGGGGTCCCAGGCTTTCCATCTCAACTGGCCATTACAAGCAAACTCTTCTGTGCCTGGACTTTGCCTGACTTCCTCTTTTTCCACACCGAGGAGCTCACCTGAGGAAGGTGGGAAAAAGGTAGTTGGAACCAAGTGAAAAGGAGATACTCCCTTCCTTGGCTGATGGGGCAGCTAAGCTTGTGGAGGGGCAGTTTTGTCCCCATTTTAAGTAGGATGGTATCTAGAGGCAGGGAACCGCCCCCATCATCCCTTCATGGGACACATTCTGGGAGATACATTGCATAAGTCAGGGAAAGTGGCCACCAGCTCTGGGTCCTTGTTACTGCCAGTGAAGAGAAGTGTTCCTGCTGGCAGGTGATGATATATTTTAGCTGCTGGTCCTGTAAATGGTCTCCATGGTGCACTTATGGATTTGGTTGGGAAGCTAAGGAACCAAGGCCCTGGATGGAGAACTTAGTTGGGCACCATGGTATTTGAAGTCCTGGAATTCCATAGAACCTCAGATTAAGGGTTCAGAAGGCTTGGAAACCACCAGGTGCAGGGTATACCTGCACTGTCCATTGAGGCAGTTTTTTTCCTTGTCTGATAATTCAAAGAACATTTCCATGTGTGAGCATTAGTATTTATCATTTTGATGATTGAGGCTTTTTTGTCTGAATCAATTTCTGTTTTCAGAAATTGTGAAAATATAATAAACTGGGCTGAATTGAGGGATAGTGCATTTTCCCCAATCAATTGCTCACAGGTCTTGTTTTGTCATTTGTCTCATAGACAGAGTGTAGACTGAATGATAGTGGGTAACTCTGATGCAATACCTTACTGAAAAAGAACCAGAAATTCTGATACTAGTTTCTTAATCACTATTTAGCTGTACCGCTTAGCCACCCTGAACAAGTTTGTTCATTTTATCAAATGGATAATTTCACCTGTCCCATTCTGTGTCACAGTGGCTGGTAGGCTTCAGTGTCTTTTATAAATGATTAAAAAAAAAAGTTTAGTCAAATATGAGGTACAGTAGTCCCTCCTTATTTGCTGTTTCGCTTTCTGCAGTTTCAGTTACCCATGGTCAACTGCGGTCTAAATATATAAATGGAAAATTCCAGAAATAAACAATTCATAGTTTAAAATTGTGTGCCATTCTGAGTAGCATGATGAAATCTCATGCCATCCTGCCCGGGATGAGGCGTCCTTTGTCCAGCATATTCATGCTGTATACACTACCCCCAGATAGTCACTTTGTAGCCATCTCCTTTATCAGATTGCAGTGCTTGTGTTCTAGTAACCCTCATTTTACTCAATAATGGCCCCAAAGCCTAGGAGTAGTGATGCTGGCAATTTGGATATGCCAAAGAGAACTGTAAAGTGCTTTCTTTTTAGTGAAAAGGTGAGTACAGGACAGTAAGATATTTTGAGACCGCATTCTTACAACTTTTATTACAGTATGTTGTGATAATTGTTTCATTTTGTTGTTAATCTCTTACCGTGCTTATGTATAAATTGTTTTATCATAGCTATGTCTGTGTAAGAAAAAGCATGGTATATATAGGGTTCGATACTATCCTCGGTTTCAGGCATCCACTGGGGGTCTTGGAATGTACCCCATCACTGTATTATCATTTGATCCGGGTGCCATAAGGCCATTTAGATGATCTTGCCTAACCCCCTTACCCAACAAGGATGCAGACCCTGAGGGGTTGAGACTTCTGCCATGAAGTAGAGTAGTTGGCTAGAACTTATTCTATCGTCAGTGGCAACGCAGGCTAGAGGAATCTGATGCCCTTTAATTTTAAGAGTTGCCTTTTTTTAGAATGATTACCTTGAAAAGTCCTGGAGTTATCTGTTCCTGGGATGGTGGCAGTCACGTGAGGTGGTGGCTTCTATCCTTGACTGAAATGTATTTCTCTTGCAGCTGAACGGGCCTTGGATACCATGAACTTTGATGTGATTAAGGGAAAGCCAATCCGCATCATGTGGTCTCAGAGAGATCCCTCTTTGAGAAAATCTGGTGTGGGAAATGTCTTCATCAAGAACCTGGACAAATCTATAGATAACAAGGCACTTTATGATACTTTCTCTGCTTTTGGAAACATTCTGTCCTGTAAGGTAAACATTGATTAAATGATTTTAGAATAATTCCTGCATCCCGAAAACAATATAAATACTAAACAGGGAACTCCCTTGGAATTGGGTGGCAGGGGATGGCAATTTTCAAAATGCTAGAAATGGCTCTGAAAGCTCAAAGTTCCCCCTAGATAATCTCGTGCCACAATCCAGCATAAGCAGCAGATGCTCTTGTGTCTTTGTTCTTCCTTCTGCCTGAAATATCCTTCCTGTCTTCTAACTTTGGAAAGCATCAAAAGGTTTCTGTTGGGGGTTGGGGAGGGGAGGACCAGAGCAGTGCTTCTGGTTTCCAGGCAGCTGTGTGTAGTTGTTTTGGAAGCATAAATTTACTCTTTTTCTTCTCCATGTACCTGTTTATGTGGAGAATTTTATACAACTTGTGTGGTGGTGGTTTACATGTCTGACTCCACACTAGTCTGAAATTCTGTTGTGGGCTTGGAAGATGGTTTGTCTTTCTGCAGCACTGTGGTTTTGTACCCAGATCTCTCAATGTTGTTTTGTTTGTTTTTTAGCTGAGCCATCCTGCCACCTGTTGGTAGCTTACCGGCAGCTCAGCTTGGGCTAGGAATTGAACCGGCAACCCTGTTGCTCAGAGCTCGCACTCTTGAGTGAGCTCTTAACCAACTGAGCCACTCAGCCAGCCCTTCAGTGTTTTTTTTTAATGAGAAAACATTTGGAATAGAAGCAGCCTAATAGTGGCTACCTTTTGTAAATGAAACATTACTGTGTGCCTGGTGCTGCGCTGAGTGTTAGAAAAACCTTACCTGCGGTAGTCTCCTGTCTTTTGACCATGGATGGGCTAGAGGCCTCAGACACAGGAGAACGCTGAGTAGGAGACCACATGGTTCTCGAATCTCTGGAGCTGCCCGCTGGCACTGAAGTGGCCTGCTTTGTCTTTTGACAGGTGGTGTGTGATGAGAACGGCTCTAAGGGTTATGCCTTTGTCCACTTCGAGACCCAAGAAGCTGCCGACAAGGCCATCGAGAAGATGAACGGCATGCTCCTCAATGACCGCAAAGTGTGAGTGTCCCAGTCCGGAGCAACAGCCATCGCATGAGCCAGCCATGGCCCCACCTCGGTATTAACTGGCACACACAAGGAGGCTACTGGTTTTCTCGGCCCAAGTGTGGCCTGCTCCTACCTCTCCACTCCAGGGCTGGTGAGTCTCCCTGCCGAGCCATGGCAGCCCTTTTGACTCGCCAAGGTGGGCTTTCTGCCCAAGCCGTGGCCTGCCTGCTGCCTCCCCCTTAAAAGCATCCATCTGTGGGTTTTGTGAGCATCGGCAACTGGGGCTGACTGGAAGACAGCTCTAAGCCCACTCTGAGCAGGGGTCTTGGCCAGCAGCAGAGTGGAGAGGGCCCTGGACTGACCAGGAGCTATGTACTAGCCATGTGACCTTGGCCTTCCTGTGATTCAGGTCTGTCCATGGGGCCATTCGCTAGGGGTTGATGCCAAATTGTCCTCAGATCTCCACTTGGCTAACTTATGACTCAGTGGCCTTCTGATACAAGGCTGGCTCCCCAGTAATACTTAATCTGGTTACAATGAAAAATCTGTCCCATTGCAGAAGGCATTGTTCCTAATAGACCTTGTTGCTTTGGTGTGGTTATTGTAGAACGGAGAGGGGGAGTTGTAGCTAAGCCATGCAGGGAGAGAAGGGACAATAAGTCTTGGCTATAACAAGCAAAAATGATTTCTGCCCTTGGTGTTGTTGAACAGGCCAGGGGTTGCACTGATAATGTGTATGTGCCCAGTGGTCAGTTCTTCCAAAGTTATCACTAGAAAGAAATTTAAATATTTTCATTGTACAGATATATTTTCCTATTAAGTGCAAATAACATCAAAATGAATAAAGTAAAAAATTAAAGGCAGTTCACTCCAACAGTTTGACTCCTTGGATTAACCACGGTTAACAGTTTGGTTTGTATCCTTCCAGACCTTTTCTATGCATTTACATAGATGCACAGAAATGAACATTTTAAAAACGTGGTCATCAGTTTCCTTCACGAAGGCAGTGTGATGTGGTAGGAGTAGCCCTGGTCTGAGCCAGGAGCCCCGGGGCTTGGTCCCTGCAAGACACTCCTGCTTCTTTCTCTTTCTGTGGGGAGTTGGGCGTCTCTGAGCTTACTCTCTTGGTGGTTGGACGGGGGCTCGTGTATTGTAACCTCTCCTGTCGTCAGCCTTTAGCCTGCATTCCTTTGGGCCCCTGGAAATCATGTTTTGTTCTCTGGGTGATCACTGTTTTTCTTGGTTTCATTTTAGATTTGTGGGCAGATTCAAGTCTCGAAAAGAGCGGGAAGCTGAGCTTGGAGCCAAAGCCAAGGAATTCACCAACGTGTATATCAAAAACTTTGGGGAAGAGGTGGATGATGAGAGTCTAAAAGAGCTGTTTAGCCAGTTTGGTAAGTCAGGTCCTTTGCCCCATGTGTCCCCTTTCACAGTCCACCAGACCTGGAATTCATCTTTTCTTACTTAAGAGATGAGGGCACCTAGACAGACCCAGAAGTAAAATACCTTGCATGACAAAGGTCACAGGGTAGATAAGAATAGACTCCCAAGTCTCGGCTCTTGGCTTCATCCTACTTCGTCCAAGCCCCAAGGCCATCTCAGCAGCTTGGTCAAAATTAGCAGGCCAGGCACGGTGCCTCTTTTAGGAGTCCATCTGAGTTCAGCAAGAGGTTGCTTCAAGTGGGTTCCTAGAGAAGCCGTCTCTCCTTGAGCTGTGGTAGAGATGGCATTACTAATAGTTCTGTCCTTTGGTAATAGGTAAGACCTTAAGTGTCAAGGTGATGAGAGATCCCAGTGGGAAATCCAAAGGCTTTGGCTTCGTGAGTTACGAAAAACACGAGGATGCCAATAAGGTGAGAGTACCACGAGGGCTGGGAAAAATTTGTAGGGAGTGGCCCCAGAGTGTGGGCAGGGCCTCGCTAGCACATAGAAGGCAGCTGGAATTATCTGAGTGCCTACTAGTGATACGCAGTTACTATACTCTGGAATTGCCTTCTTAAGGGGTTTCACGTGTTAATTCTATTAGTTAACTGTTTTCAAAGCATTTGGCACATACCTGTCACCTTAGCTGTTCAGCCTTGTAGATTGAAAACAGGACAGTGTGCGTTCCCGTTCATAGGTGAGGGAACCGAGGGCCAGAGAGTTGTTGATTGGATTACAGGATATCAGCTACTGGTAGGTGAAGCGTTGTGCTAGGCAACCTTAATATATATCACTTAATACCCACAAAAGAACCTGAGAAATTTAGTGATAGCCAGATTATCAAGCTGGGCACAACTATACTATTTTTTTCTTACATTATCTGGTCCAATAACCCATTTAAATATTAACCCCATTTTACTGATGAAGTTTGGATTTGCTTAGCTGACTTCAGAGATGGAGTGAAGGTAGTTTTTAACCCCGTAGGGAAGACTTTGTAGAATATTTAGGACTTCCAGAGCAAGGTCCCTGCCTCTGCATCTTGTTTTAACGATGCGTATTTCCTCTTTAGGCTGTGGAAGAGATGAATGGAAAAGAAATCAGCGGGAAAGTCATTTTTGTAGGCCGTGCACAGAAGAAGGTGGAACGGCAGGCTGAATTAAAACGGAAATTTGAACAGCTGAAACAAGAGAGAATTAGTCGGTATCAGGTGAGAGAGGTGGTCTCGGCCCCCCTACCAATAGAAGATTGTGAAATATTGGTAAACCACCCTTAATGTAGAGCAGGCTTTCTCTTTGGGGACTTGGAGTCAGCTCTTCCTCTCGTTTCTCCCAAGATCATCAGATTTAAAAGGATCTGCCTCGCAGATACAGCAGCAATTCTAGAACAAAGACCAAAGAGATGAATTTATTCATTTAGGGACTCTGTTCCGGAAGCCTCCGCCATTGTTCTGAGTTGTGTGGGTTCCTTTTACTTAAATGATACCCCTTTGTTTGGAATGGTGGCAGGAAGAGCCTTGCTGGGGTGAGTGGTCAGCCAGAGCAGTTGTGAGGAAAAATGATAAGAGCATGTGACGGCATTGATGCTCCTATCAGACTCTCAAGGGCAGTGCTTTCTCAACGTGGAGCCTGCATCAGAGTCCCCTGTGAGGCTTGTTAAAACTCGGGTTGCTGGGCCCCAGAGTTTCTGATTCATTAGGTTTGGATTCTGACCCGAGAATTTACATTT